GCAGCTGAGCTTGGAACGGCATGCTTGGCTTGCATCATTAGTTGATTGCCACACTGCCTGGTGGCAGTGTGGACTCCATTAGATCCGTGGTGATGACGCAGCTACAGCTCATCACTTCCCACAGTATCTGAATGTGTGCTCAAGACCATTTGTCAGATAAAGAGTCCGAGTGATCCCGGTTTCAAAACAAAAACAAAGATAACAATATACATGCTTTATTTCCCTCTGATTTGTCCTTGTATTTGTAGGAAGTCGAGACGGGAAAGTATTTTATTGCATTTTTATTATGTTAAGCAATTAAAACAATTCAGAAAATGTGCATTTGAAATCAGGACTGCTGCGGGGACAGGGCTGAAAGGGCTGTTGTCCCCTGGGCTCGGCACACGGTGGCATAGAGATGGCCACCCCAGGCCCCGAAGAAGGTGAAATAAAACCCTGCTTCAAGTAGAGAGGAAAGAGTGGCTTTGAGGGGTAAAGCAGGTGCCTGGGAGACGGGGGTGTTGGAGGAGGACAGGCAGATGTGGGTGGTGATGGATGGTGCTTCTGCTCTCTGCCACCCCCGGAGGCCTGGTCCCTGCCTTTGTCTCTGTAGAAGGAAGTGTGGTGCTTCCAGCACCTAGCTTTCTCCACAAAGTCCCCGCTTCTAACTTTTGCACTAAATCTCACCTTTAATGAGAAGCAGCTCTTGGTATCAGCAATAGTTCTGGAGCCTCCTCTGCCCGCTGTCAGGTCTGTGGGTTTTATTTTTATGTGTGTAATTGGAAAATTCCCTGGTGGGACTAGGGAGAAACATTAATGTCACTCCAGAGATGGGCTCTTGGTCCAACCTATGGGATCGGGCAAGCTTCCGAAAGTGAATCCCATCAAAGAGGTGAGGGTCAGCTGGGCAATTTCGAGCATCATTCTGGTGGGACTTTGGTCTTTGTTCTGTGCTATTAGGGGAGGGTAACGGCCTGGGCACGATGAGGCCTCAGCCGGCAACAGCAGGCATAAAACACGTTTACGACCCCTGCAGTGGCAGAGCCGGTGGATGCTTGTGAGACCCAGGACCAGGACCTGCTTCGACTTTACCTGAGCACCCACCCCGGCCACTTCCTAAAGTCCTGACAAAGATGTCCCTCCTCCTCCACCTTACCTTTCTCTCCCCCTCCCATTATCTTCAACAAAATTGGAGGGTGGGGGGAACATATTCAGATTATACTAAAAAATGTACACACACACACACACACACACACACACACATATACACACACAGAGTCTTGTCTGTGTGAGCCTCAACCATTTTTTTTTTTTTTTTGGTTTTTCGAGACAGGGTTTCTCTGTGTAGCTTTGCGCCTTTCCTGGGACTCACTTGGTAGCCCAGGCTGGCCTCGAACTCACAGAGATCCGCCTGGCTCTGCCTCCCGAGTGCTGGGATTAAAGGCGTGCGCCACCACCGCCCGGCAAAAAAAGTCTTTTTTTTTTTTTTATTTATTGTGTATACAATGTTCTGCCTGCATGTATCCCTGCAGGCCAGAAGAGGGCACCAGATCTCATTACAGATGGTTGTGAGCCACCATGTGGTTGCTGGGAATTGAACTGAGGACCTCTGGAAGAGCAGCCAGTGTTCTTAACCTCTGAGCCATCTAAAATGTAAGGGAAGGTTTTCATTTCTCACTTAAATAGTCCTGTAATCGAATGTTGGTGTGGGGGACAAGCAGGGTCACGTGTGTGGACACAAGGGCAAAGGTAGGAAAGACTTGCACGTGAGGCAAGGAGGCATTTCATTTCATCCCACGGCACTCCCTTCCTCCACACCCTGATGTTTTAGGGAACAGTGAAGACTTGCAGTCTCACCTGTGGAGAACCCCTTGGCCTCTCAGCGGGAACTCACTCCACATTCCTCCTCCACTTTCCTGTCTAAATTTCCCAAATGTTTGGGCTCATATTTAATAGAGCTGTGTTTGTGTAAATCAACGCCTATAAACCGGTCGCTTGAGACCAGGGAGCTGCTCGTTTTTATGACTCAAAGGGCAGTAAAAGCAGCCCGGTGTAGGGCAGCTTCCAGTTCTGTGACTGGGCTGTTAAGTTCTTGTTAGCCCAGTCCTGTGCTGACCCTACTACACATCTCTTGGAGCTTGTAATTGCTCTAGTAAGAACTGAGCTAAAAGACAAGCCAGCTCCATCTCAAACAAGAAAACAACAACCAATAAAAACAAAAACCTCAGTATGCTGTGGCTTGAGAGATCACTCCACTGTGACTTCCTGTAGGGGCAAGAGTGGGATATGGATATGAACTAGATTAAATCTGTTATACCCCAAATTGCCTTTTGCTACCTCAATTTATCTATAAACAGATCTATTGACTTGGTGGTTGTTGTTTGTTTTTTCGAGACAGGGTTTCTCTGTGTAGCCTGCCTCTGCCTCCCAAGTGCTGGGATTAAAGGCATGCACCACCCACCACTGCCTGGCTAGTGGCCATGCCTTTTATCCCAGCACAGGGGGTTTAAAAGTAGGCAGATCTCTGTGAACTCAAGGCCAAGCTAGTCTGCATAACAAGTTCAAAGCCAGCCAGGGCTACATCAGTGAGACTGTTCCAAGAAAGAAAAAAAAAAATCAATAAGAGAGTATTGCACAATATGAGATTCAACACTGAACATCCATGAATAAAGTTTTATCGGAACACAGCTGTGCTCGTTCACTTTTGTCTTGACTATGACTGCAGATAGCATAGAGCTTTGCACAGCCTGAAATCATCACTTCCTGGCCCTTTAAGAACAAGCTGGTAGATCATGTTTCAGAAAAGCAAAACTGCCTCTTTATTTACAGATAAATTCTCAGAAGCAAGTCCCCAAATGGCCTGGCAATCCTTTCATCTTCTGCAAGGGGTCCTTTCCAGTTGTATTCCCAGGGCTTCTTCAAAAGTGTTGGTCCTTGGAAGAATGCTATTCAGGGAACATTTTTTTTTTTTTAAACTAAATGTTACTTTTCAATAGAGGCATAAACTATTCACTTAAAAAAAAAAGCTGGGAGGTGGTGGCACACATTTTAATCCCAGTACTCAGGAGGCAGAGGGAGGCAGATCTCTGTGAGTTCAAGGCCAGCCTGATCTACACAGTGAGTTCCAGAGCAGCCAGGGCTGCTACACAGAGAAACCCTGTCTTGGAAAAATAATAATAATAATAAAATAAATTAATAAATCAAAAAACAAAAACAACAAAAACCTGTACATTATATCTGATTGTATTTTGTAATTACAGGTGGAGTTTTAAAAATTCTAAATGGTTAAGTCTCACCCCAGATCTACTCCATCAGGGTTTCTGGGTGTGAGGTCCAGACATGGCTACTTCTTGACATTCCCAGGAGGTTGCGATGTGCCGTCAGGGTTGACTACCACTGTGAAACATTCGCTTATGCAGGGGGTGCTCCCTCTGCTGTTTAGAATTACTGTTTTAATCACAGTAGCCATTTCCAGTGGCAATTTCGTTCCCTTCCCCAGTGTTTTTGGATGCCTATAAAATACTAATTGTTCTGGAAGCTATGTGTCAAGAGAAAGGAATGCGCTGTAGCCTGAGTTCAACAAGGCAGCTCACCAACCATGGACTGGGTGCCTGCCTTCTCCCAGACAGACAAGCATCTACAGCTTCATTTTGGGGAGACTGTGTAAGAGGCAGGATTTGTGTGCAGATACATGGAACACAAAAGGTATTAATAAAACAGTACTAGCTTTTGAGCTGTCTCATAGGGGTTTAGGAAATGGCTGCATTTTTACATGCAGAAAATTAGTTTGGAGGGAATCTGTAAGCTTATTATTAGAAGCAGCACTGTGGAAGGACAGAGCCTCAGACCCTCAGCTAAGCATCCTTGAGCATGTCCCTTCAGTACTTTTGGATTCTGTCCTGCTTCCACAGAATGAAGTCACTATAATACCATGCACCATAAGGTGCATAAAAGGCAATGAAAGATTCTCTCTCCCTCTCCCTCTCTGCCATGCTGGGCCAGATGAAGTGCCTGTTTGTCTAAATAAAAAGGGAAAGTTTTAACTCTAACATGCTAAAACCATACAATAAGAACAACTATCAAGTAAGAAATTACATTCACAATGTCCAGTCCATTTGCATTTGGCAAATTCAGAGAAAATACTCCATTATCTATCCTATCTTGGTGAGTCCAAAGTTTTGTATCTAATTCACTTTCTATCCTAATTTGTATTACCAACCCAAAACTATCTTTTTAGATCTCAAAACATTTTCTTAAACAATTTAAGCTTTTATGTCTCTCAACCTTATATACTTTATATCTCTCTTGTGAGTTTCTTTTCTGAATTTATTAACAAGGAAAATTGTAACTATAACTATCTCATCTTCAACTCCATCAGAGATCCGAGAAGGATATAATATTACTTGAGTAAACAGGAAGTGTAGAGCAAACAAATTCCAAAATTATAGAAACAACAGAAACAGTTGGCTGCCTAGACAGTCACCCAAGGTTCATCTGCAAAGTTGGGACATTCTTCTTTGGCCTACAGGCTTAGAATATTTTACAGACTTTTTGTGAAGCAGGACTGTCCTACCTTGTCTTGGCAAAGTTCAGCAATCACCTTCTTTTGTGTCCTGCTCATCCAATTTAGACAGCATACTGTCAGTAGTTGAGGCAAGGGCAGTTTCTCGCCTAAATGTCTAGTTTCGCCACATAGGAAGAAAACTCCATATGGAGGTTCTTTGATGCCCATCATCCTTTTTTGAAGTAAATTGCTGCTGCCAGGAGCAGATGTGTCTCGCTGTCATGAAAAGCCTTATTAAAACATCTTAAATGCCATATTCTGTAGGTCTCTAAAGTGTTTGTAGAGCATCTGTGTATCTAAAATATAACTGTTTGATCTTGAAAATACACCTAACATGTCTACAAATTTGATTGTTATAGATGACTAACTACTAACCTACATTTCTTAATTATCTTAAACAGTTTGTAATGTTGCAGGAATCCTAAATGGTCTTATAATAAAAACCTGGAGCCAGATATGAGGGTGAAAGCTGAAAGATCAGAGAAGCAGAGCAAGCCATAGCTACCGCCTCTTACCGCACCAACTCCTCAGCCTGACAGAGCCTCTGTAAGAGTGTGAGTTCCTGTCTCCTCCCACCTTATATTCCTTTCTCTGCCCAGCCACATCACTTCCTGTCTCAACCTTCCTAGTGTTGGGATTAAAGTTGTGTGATCCCAAGTGCTGGAATTGAAGGTGTGTGCCACCACTGCCTGGCTCTTCCTCTTTTAGACTGGATTAATCCCATGTAGTCCAGTGTGGACTTGAACTCACAGAAATCCAGACAGATCTCTGCCTCTGCCTCCCAAGCACTAGGATTAAAGGTGTGTGCCACCACTGCCTGACCTCCGTGGCTAACTCTGTGGCTGGCTCTGTTCTCTGATATTCAGGCAAGCTTTATTTCTTAGATTACAAATATATCACCATATTTTAATAATAGCCTTTAAGGACTAGTACTTTACATTACATTTTAAAATGATCTGCATAGATACAATACCTTAAACAAGAGTAGGAACATATACAGTATGTTAAAACAAAAATAACCTTAAATTTGTATCAATAAACAAAAATATCTTAAACAAGAGTAGAAACATATATACAGAATAACAAAAGTAACCTTAAGTTTGTATCAATACACAAAAATCCATACCAATGTAAACTATTTAAGACTAGTAGTTACTTTTTTAGTTTAAAAGTAGATTCAATAATCTACCCTTTTATCCTACCATTCCTATATCCCGTTTTTTTCTTTTCATAATGAGATCCCCGAATCTAATCTCCTTTACTTAGTTTTCTCCCTGACTATGACCAATAACAACTTGTAACCAATCCCCTAAATGATGATAAATAGCCAGAATCCACAAAATGACCAAAAATCTCCCATCCCACCTCTTGGGAATGTGGACACCCTGTTCTTAAAATTACTTCCCATTGTCTGGGGGTGATGACATCTTTAGGGGACCCTGAGAAAATTGAGATCATAGTCAAATCCTGGGAGAGCTAGCTGTTGTCCAGTCTCGGTGTGATGGGAAAGTGCAGGGTTTATCTGAAGTCCTGGCTGGAGTAGTCTATGAGGCTGGGCCATTTTAGCTAACTGCCTTGAAATTGTCCTGAACAGCTTATAGTCCGAAACTGATCTTTGGGTAGTTTTTGTCAGCTTAATGGCATTACCACAGTTCAGATGGAATTGGCATTATGGGGCCCCATCATCTTTTCAGAGATTTAATAACTCTTAGATCTGTTCCCATTCTCCATTTTCCAGATTTCTTTTTAATAACAAATATAGAAGAATTCCAAAGACTGGTCGATTCTTCAACATGTTGAACTTTTAGTTGCTCCTGTATCAGCTGTTCTAATGCCTGTAATTTTTCTGATGCCTAAAGCCATTGTTCCATCCAGGCAAGTTTATCAGTTAACCATTTTAAAGCTAGGGCTGTTGGTACCTTTGAGAGATTGGCAGCTGTTGTGCCCTGCTTATGTACAACCTGAACAGTTGGTGACTGTTTTTGCAAATATCTTTTAATATCATTCTCAGAAGCATACATTAGTTTATGGTTTATTTCTGAGGTTAGAGGAATGTTAATCTGGGTTTTCTACTGTTGTAATAAATCACATCCCCATAAATTCATTGCTGTGCTAGCCACATATGACTTTAATTTTTCTATCTGTCCTTCTGGCCCTATACACTTGACCCATCTTACATTTCATTTTGCCTGCAAGCCAATCTCTTGAAGCTGAATATTTACCTCCTGAAGAGACCAATTTGGATGCCAAGATTTTGGTGAAATTATTGTTACATCTGCACCTGTGTCCAGTAAACCTTTAATCACAGTGCCATTTATTTGTATTTTTAGCTTTAGTCTTTGATCATTCAAAGAAGTTTGCCAAAATATTTGTTTTATGGTCTCTCCTGAAAATGTTATTTTATCTACTGAAGCTGTTCCGCTATCGAGAGCAGTATGTTTTTTTCATAACAGGCATTAGGTCTTTTAATTGCTCTGTGATGTAATTTCCCCAGTGCTGACAGGAAATGATTGAACAAAATTTGACATGGGGGTCCTGCAAGCAGGTCCGTAAGGTGTTTCATGATGACAAAGTGTTACCTTGCCTGTCCCATGTTAATCTGCATCCTTTAGTCTAGTGCTGGCCTTTGCTGCACCTTCTGCATATTCCAGAAGGCTGGGGCCTTCTGTTTGGGTCATCTCTAGAAAAAACATTGTTTCTAGGAATGCCTTGCCTACAATCTTTTTTTAGATGACCTGGTTTACCACAATTAAAATATCTAACTTTGCTGGGAAGTGGTAGCACATGCCTTTAATCCCAGCACTTGGGAGGCAGAGGCAGAAGGATCTCTAAGTTTGAGGCCAGCCTGGTCTGCAAAGTGAGTTCCAGGACAGCAAGGACTAAACAGAGGAACCATGTCTTGAAAAACAAAAACAAAACAAAATCTAACCTTTTTATTTTTCTTAAAATTTTTGGAAATCACTTCTCCTATTCAAGTGTCATCATAAGTGTGAGATCCAAAATCAGCTGTATTTTGGATCCATTCAACTATTGGTGCTGATCTTGCCTTTAAAGGCCTAATCACCCTTTTGCATTCTGCATTAGCATTTTCAAAAGCCAAAGATTCAATTAATATTTGTCTAACTTCTGGATCTGCTATCATTCTATTTACAGCTGAGGTCAATCCTCATTAAAAAAAAAAATAATCAGTGAAGGCTTCTTTTGGGCCTTGTGTAATTTTAGTGACTCGGTCCTCTTTGGTGATTCTTCAACCTTGTCCCAAAGCTGCTATATGGCATAGAGTCAAGGTATGCTCACCAAATGTGATCTTTCTTTGCAAATCAGCATATTGGCCTTCACCAAAAAGTTTCAATACCTCTAGTGTAGATGAACAGTCTTATTAAATAAGAAACACAGAGCCAATTGCAGAGTTAAAAGCCCAAGAGGTCAGAGCAGTAGCTGAGAGCTGAGCCTACCCTTCACTGCCACTGCTGTCCTTCCTCTCAGCAAGAGTGCTACTTCCTGTGTATCTGTCTTTTTATAGACTTTCTGTTCTGCCTTCTCATTGGTTGTAAACCCGACCACATGACCTCCTTATCACTGCCCGTCTATACAGACCTCCAGGTCTTCTATGGTTGGTATTGAGATTAAAGGTGTGTGTCTCCATGCTGGTGGTATCCTTGAACACACAGAGATCTGCCTGTCATATGATCGGGATTAAGGGCATGTGCTACCACTGCCAGACTTCTGCTATGGCTTCCTATCAGCTCTGACCCCCAGGCAACTTTATTTATTAACATACAAATAAAATCACATTTTAGTACAAATAAAATATCACCATACCTCTAGCCATACTTCATTGTTCTATGACCCTAACTTCCTCTCTCCACCATGTTTTCCATTGCAACTGAGGACCAGCTTCCAATATTGCTGTAGTTAAATCTTTCCAGTCTTGTGGAATAATTCTGTTCTGACTGGCCCATGAATTTAACATCTGCTTTACAAAAGGTGAATGCATATCACATGAAACCATTGCTTCCTTAAATCTCTTCAAATCTAACATTTCTCTAGGATATCAGTTAACTTCTGAATAGCCTTGGGTATGCCTATCATCTGGTGGTCATTCTTTTATGGTAACTGGATAAATTAAGGTTGGATTTCTAATAACCTTGGGCTGCTCCTCTTCAGTTCCATGTTCCATTGGTGAGGTAGGTTCTGCTATAAACTCCTTTGTCTGTGTGTGAATATTTTTCTTAGTTTCATTAGTAGGTCTTTCTAAGAATTGAATCTTATCAATCAATTTTTCGTATTTGGCACTGGTATCAAACCATTTTTTAAAGGATAAAACATGAATTACCAAATTGATAATGATTATAATCAACATTGTATCAATCCCAGCTAAACTGATTATCCCTTCATTTAATTTTTCCATTTTCAAAACATCCACTGTGGAATCATACAGCCACCTAACTCCCTGCATTGTAATATTGTTCCCTGTTCTTAACATGGGGGAAAACTTTTCTTGTTTGTTTGTTTGTTTTGTTTTGTTTTGATTTTTGAGACACGCTGTGCCACTATGGCCGGTGAAAAACTCTTTTTTAAAAACAAAAACAAAACAAAAAAAACCTAATTCCCCCTTTAAGAATTCCCAGGTGCTGGGATGGGAGAGATGGCTCAGAGGTTAAGAGCCCTGAGTTCAATTCCCAGCAACCACATGGTGGCTCACAACCATCCGTAATTTGGTCTAGTGCCCTATTCTGGCATGTGGGCAACATGCTGAATGCATAATAAATAAATAAATCTTTGAGGGGAAAAAAAAAGAACTCCCAGGTATCTCCCCAGATCTGCTGATGACGACAGCGAAGCGTGAGGCTGGCTGCCTCTGTGCCACACAGCTGGACAGAGAACACAAGCTGTGCACAGCCTGGCCAAGGGCAGCTGAAGGGCTGAAAGAGTGTGTGGTGGTGGCGGCAGCAGTAAAAGCCCAAGCAGGTGTAGGCAGCAGAATGGCGAGGCAGCGGCCCATGGAGGGGGTCCAGAGGAAGCCCACAACTTACGGAGAGAGGAAGCCAGCCGCCTGAAAAGCCAACACAGGGGGACATGCAGAAGAAGTGGCTAACTCCGGGGGCATTTGGAGCCCAGCAGCATGTGGCATTTGGAGCTGGAGACAGAGGGCAGCTGGAGGCTGCTGTCGAGAGGCTGCAATGGGAAAATCCCAGACTCCCATGGAGGGCCTGGGGAGGGAGGGAAAGCCAGCTACAGTGGTCACTCTGGAGGCTGCAAAGCTGGTGGCCAGTGGCTGCCTCGTGATCTTGTGGCCCATGTTGGACGCCAGATGAAGCGTTTATCCAATTACTCCTTCATCAATAAAAACTTGGGTGTCAGATATGGGGGTAAGAACCTGAATAATCAGAGGAGCGGCAGGGAAGTGACCAGTGACCTCCTCTTTCTTTATCTATCTTCACTCCAAAAGGCCCGAGAATCTTTCTAAACCCCTCCCTACTACTTCCTGTGTCTCTCTATATGCTCTTGGTCCTCCAAAACCTCTATGGCTAATTTTGGTCAGGAAGTAGCTAGCTCTACCCTCTGGTTCAAAGTAAACTTTATTTCCAGTCTCGGGGGTGTCAGAGTGTGATCAAAATTTCCCACAACAGTAAATAAACTTTTTATGAACTTTTTTAAAAAGAATAGGAGCTGGAGAGAGGGCTCATCAGTTAAAAGGACCCAAGTTTGGTTCACAGCACCCAGGTCAGGTGGCTCACAACTACTTATAACTCCAGTTCCTAGGGATCTGATGCCCTCTTCTGGCCTCCAGAAGCACCTCTATGCATGTGGTGCGCATAAACTCTGCAGGTGCACATAAACAAACAAACATTTTTTAAAAGAATGTAGAGATGAAAATGTGGCTTTTCAGCTCACAGATGAATCCTGAAGCCAGAGCAGGTATTGTTCCAATCACACAGAGTAGGGAAGCAAAAGCCCTGGAATGATTCCTTTTGGCTGGTTTGTTTTGGTTTTCATGGTGCTGGAAATCAAACCCCCAGGGCATCACGCGTAGTAGGCAAAGCACTCAACCACTAAGCTCACTCCTACCCCTTGGCTGTTCAAAACAAGACCTTATTTCATGGCCCACACTGGCACAGAACGTCTACTTTAGCCTCCTGAGTGCTGGGACTACACCACCATGCCCGGATAAACAATGAAATTTCTTTGAACTGTTTTAGCATAAAAATGAACTCAATTGATCATCCTACTCCATACTGGATATTGAATAAAAACCACACACGTCATAAATTGCTTAGATTGCACAAAATTAACTCTTTGGGGTACTGTGCTCTATTCATCCCATGGTTTTGAAGACGCCCCCTCTTCCACTTCAGGGGACTTCTTACCTTAGCTGGAGAGGGATGGCTGTCGTCGTTGAGGAAAAGGATTCAGACTAAAAGGCAAAAGCTCTTTATAAATCACCCAGGTGACTGGGTGATACTCAGAGGAACTTGAAGTGGGGGCCTGGAGCCAACAGGAAAGCTGCCTTCCTAGACAGGTGAGAAATCAGGGGAATCTGCCTTTGCAGAACTGGAAAATCTAACTGATGCATGCATTCAAAGGCGCTCGGGTTGATGGGAAACAATTGGGTGCATAGGTCCCATCTTCACTGAAAAGTGAAGATGGAAAGTTGATCATTCTCAGTCTCCTGAGTTCACAGATGCAGTCTTCCTGTGGAGCTCAGGCTCTTGAATCATAGGCTTGTGCCACACCCAACCCAAGTCTTTCTTGGTGACACACAAATTCTGAAGTTTCTGACCATGGCATCTTAGATTTAATGAGGTACAGCATGTTGTAAGGTTTTAAGTTACTAATTTTAAATCCTCTCCAGGAGCCAGATGTGATGGTGCATGCATTTAGTCAGGAGGCAGAGGCAGAGAGATCTCTGAGTTTGATCTATGCAACCAGTTCCAGGATAGCCGGGGCTACACAGAGTTTTTTTTAAGCCCTGTCTTAAAAAAACAAGACAAAGAAACAACAGAAAAATCTGCCCCAGGACCACTGACATGGCTAAAAGTGAAGGTGCAAGATGAGGTCAGAAGGTGTCTGAGTCCATCGTGGGGGTTTTTAATTCCTATGTTGCTTAAAAATCAAGGGATGGTTTCCCCTGCCATCAAAATGCAGGAGAGCAGAGCAAGGTCCTTGGAGGATCTTTCTTTTCTTCCTGTAACTAACTGCTCAGAACAATGCAGGTGTGTGATCACTTGATTTTTTTCACTTCCTACCCAGCAGGCTGCACTTGTACAAAATGTGCATAAACCAAGTACTACTCTTCCACCACCTTGAAGATGAGGATTTTCTCCAGGCTGGACCTCTCTGTGTTTATGGTGTGGGTACCTCAGTGTCATCATTTCCCGGACAGGGCTGCAGAGATGGTGCAGCGGACAAGATGAAGGCCTGAGTGTGGATTCCTAGCATCCATGCAAATGCTGTGTAAATGTGGCAGCTTGCGCCAAGGGGAAACCGGAAGATGTTGGGTCTAGCCAATCAGTGAGCTCCAGTTTAGTAAGAAACCCTGTCTCAAAAACAAGGTGGGCTGCACTGATGCGTCACCAGTGAAGAGCACATTCTGCTCATCTAGAGGACCGAGTTCAGCTCTCAGCACCCATGTAGAGCTGCTCACAACTGTCTGCAACTCCAGCTCCGGGGGGATCTGATGCCTCTGGACTTCCTGGGCACCCACATTCGTGTGCACACACCCACACAGTTAAAATGTAAAGAAAAAAAAAGGAGTATGATAGATGAAGACATTCTGTATTGATCTCTGACTTCTGTGTGTACATGCATGCATGAGCCTACACTATTACACACACACATGCATGAGCTTAAATTAGTACACACACACACACATAAGCACACATGCACAAGCCTACACTATTACACACACACAGAAACACACATACATGAGCCTACACTATTACACACACACAGAAACACACACACACACAGACCTTTACAGCAACATAGTCCTCATCTCAGTTTCCTGAGCAGATGTTAAATGGTTGGCAATATCCTACAGTTTTGGAAAGTGTCCATCCACAGGGAGACGAATCTGTAAGTAGAGCTGCTGCTGTCATTGGCCTCAGTGGTACAAGTGGACTCAAGTGCTAGGCTAGAAGGGGGCACAGGACAAGAGGCACGGAGCGGAGCGGCTGGCGGCATCCCTTCCCAGTGGGGTCCCGGAGCCCAGCAAACATTCCCTCGTTCTTCCTGGGCAGCTGGGCCTTCAGTGCCTATTTTTTAACTTGGTAAAGAGTGGAGCATGGGTAGTTCGTTTACATGTGAATTAGTCAGGTAAGATTACTCACCAGAGACTTCCACATTTTCAAGCAAACGAGCTCAGGCCTTTAGTCAAAGTGTATAAGTGTAGGCACTTGAACTTATATTCTAAAATATACTACAAAGTGTCATCTGTACATAGAAATAATCACGGTAATAAAAACGACTTTGAAATGACAGTGTCCCACAGGGTGGCGGTAAGGGTGGACTAGCCGATTCCTCTTCTCCGTGGTTTTCAGTGTGGCGCACAGCACATACACACCACGGACTTGGCGGCTGTCATCTTGCTGGTGTGCTATCGCCCAGTGAGTCTTGTACCAGATGCCGTCTCCATGGCAGCCTCAGAGTCAGCTCGTTCCTTTGCCAGCTGTATGATGTAAGTGTGGTTGCCGGCAAGGAGCTTCATAGTACAGATCTTAAAATGTTTTTCTGATGAACCATTAAAAAAAAGGCATGGAAAATACACGAATTCCCCCACTTTGGTCAAGTTCAGCTCCCCCAAAAGTAAAGAACAAACAGTATCATCAGCCCTCATCCAGATGCCTAGTGAAACAGCAGAGGATTTATATGTGATGTGGGTTTAGGGAAGGTTCGCTAACATGGTCTCCTTTCCTTAAATTTCCCCTCCCCTCACTTAAATATATTTAGTAAAGTGAGTTCTGCAAGAAGTGAGATGCCCTTCTCAGGACACCGGTTCAAGGAAGAGTCCAAACTGGCAGCTGAGTGAGGCTGGCTGGATCCTGCTGGGGTGCTGGGGGAGCAGATCAGTGGCAACCTCTCTCCCAGCTGTCACAGCTGTGCCTTTTCACTCTCAGCCCATCAGGCTCCCAGGCGGCCTTCAAAGCACCTCCTGGCCTGTGGAATTTTAGCAAATTATTCGCTAAAAGCTGAGATGCCACAGGAGTAACTGGCTGCGCTGCATACATTTGTTGTGATTCGGCGTATTACCTTAGCAGTCCTGTTCTTCGGGGGTGGAGGGGACCGAGTACTCTTAAGGGAAGAGCCAGCAAGCTGGCTGAGGTGCAAAGCCTGTGTTTTCTTTGTATGGGAATGTTGTTCATGCTTTCTATTTAAAAAGCAGGTGCCCAGCGGGCAAGCTGTCCTGTGAACTACTAAACGTGATTCTGTGTCTACATCCACTGCCGCCACGCGTCGCCGTTCCCAGGAGAAGTCAGTCGCTCCGATCTCCTTCCACATCGGCAAGCACGGGGCTTCAGTGGCATTAATTCTCTTTCGAGACAATTTCAGAACCTCCTTGTTCCCTCCTAAGTAGGAATGTTGATTGACTCAGGGAGAAGCTGAGGGAAGGCACTGAACAGAGCTTCAAGCTTTCCTCCTCGTAAAGCATGTGGTGGGTTCAAGGGCAGGAAAAATGCCAGCAGTTTATGGCTTGTTTGTCCTACTGGCTGAGTGCCATGACTAACCTGTTTCGTAGGTAGCAAACTGAGGTTCGTAGATGCAGAAACAATCCTTCCTAGTCCCCACGATGTTTCTCCTGCATCAGTTCAACATGCTCTTGAGATGTATTTATTTGTATTTTATGTGTACTGGTGTGGCCCGCGGTCATGTCCCTGCACCATGTTCATGCAGTGCCCATAAAGGCCAGAAGAGGGCATCAGATTCCCCGGAACTGGAGATACAGATGGTTGTGAGCCACCATGGGGTTGCTGGGAATGGAACCCAGGTCCTCTGAAAGAGCAGCCAGTGCTCTTAACCACTGAGCCAGCTCTCTGGTCCTTTAATACAATACTTTAAAATTTCTTTACGTGCCTGTGTATGGAGGGAGGGAAAGAGGGAGGTAGGGAGGCAGGGAGAAGGGTGCTGCTTGTATGTTTTGAGTGCGGGACTCACAAATGCCAGAGTGCAAATGTAGAGGTCAAAGCATAACTTCGGGTGTCGGTCTTCACCTTCCATCTTGTCTCTCTGCTGCTGTTTGCCACTGAGTACCTCAGTCTAGCCAACCTAAGAGCTTGCAAGGATTGTTCTGTCTCCGTCTCTCACTACAAAAGGATTGCAGATGCCATGCCTGGCTTTATGTGGGCACTGGGGATTTGAACCCTGGTCCTTCCACTTAAACGACTAGTGCTTGACCTATGAGGCCATCTTCCCAGACCTACAGTATACTTTACTATAAAAAGGGGCATGTGTGACTATAACCTCTAAGGTCTCTCCTGGCTTGTGCACTCTGAATCTGTGATTCCAAACATAACAACTGATTATTTTTCATTTGCAAAGGGTGTCTCAGAGAGTTTCCAAGGCTGTGTCCTGAGCAGAGTCTTCCTGAAAAAAACAAAACAAAGCTATAAAATAAAAAAGAAACGGAAAGAATTTTTAAAGGAACTTGTCAGTTCGGTGGCCTGATGCAGAAATAACTCGACAGTCCCTCAGACCCCCGAACCTCCCTGAGCCTGTTCTACACAAAGCTAGCAGTTTTACTCATTTATTTATTTATTTTTTCTGAGTGGCATTGGGAGACCCACAAACCTACTCCCTCATGAAAACAAGATTTCAGAAACATAGATTGTATGGGAGAAAGTTAACTTTTAAATATACTCCCTCCCCCCCCCACCCTCCCACCCCGAGTTCTAAACACGGCATGGAAACATTTCTCTTTGTTTTTATAAACGTGGAGTGCATATTTCTGAAAGCCACAGAAGAGCTTTGGTCTTCAGCTCCCACTATTTATTTATTTTGCCGTTATCCGACATGTCAGCGGTGTCTCCTAATGCCTCATGTCACACGAAAGCAAGGGTGGTCACATTACATTAATGACTGAGCTGGGATCTATAACTGACGGACTAGAATCCTATGCCCCTGTTGCTACAGAAAACATGACCCTAAATCCAGACAGCTTTGGAAGAAAAGGCCCCACAATTACGATACAGCAACAAAGCTCATGTTATATACAATTTGATTGTTTCAATGCTCTCTGCCCATCCAGTCTCATTTTCCCTACTGTTTATACGTGGTGGGAAGAAGTCCAGTGGGAAATCTACCTTTCTGTATTTTAGACAAAATGCTCATTTGCCAAGCATGTTCCACAGGATAAACTAAATATAGTGGGATCCTCTTATAATCCAGCTATTTGAAGTGGGGACTAAGCCCACCTGTAACTGTAATCACAAACCTTTCCCATATGTCTCTGTGGTCCCCAAATGAGGTGAGTGTCAATGCCATTTAAACAAGTGCCCAGTCACTCCAATGCCACATGATTTTTTTTTTTATACCTATGCGACAAGCACTAACTGTGGACATGAAGCTACCCTCGCTTTGGTCCGTCACTCAGAGGACTGGACAGAGGTTTTCAGTGGAAGCAGCGACATCTGCCCATCACATTAGACAGCAGCACAGTCAGAGCCGATCTGTCTGCTGGCCTCCTCACAGGGGCGGCCTCTGAGGTGTACTCTTGTCCTTCCTACAAGGCTGTCCAGGTTGTTTTTGGGAGGCTAGAGAAAGTTCCTACCGTTGCCCCATTTCCCTAGGTGCCAACAGCCTTGATTCTTTTTAGCAAGTGTTTGGAGGCAAGTGTTGACGCTTATTAATCTGTTTCTCGTCTTGCAAATGAACTTCTGCGGGATGGGATTCGTGGTGAAACTGTGCTCTGACAGTTCTCCATGAAGGCTCCGAGGCAGGATGAGATCGTAACACTGAGCAGGGCTGTTTGGACTTGTTATTCTTTGTAATTACCTTCATTAAGTGAAAGCATGTGCCAATCAACTTGGAACTTTAAATGTATGGGCAATTTGCAAGAAAAATGCGTTTCTATTTCCTACGGGCCCATGTGTGCCTGCAGATGAGTGTATATGAAGTATATGTATATACGTTGTGTTAGAAATAGGCTACTGCGTTTTACTTTCTCTCTATAGAATGTTCCCCTGGTACCTCTTTTTCTTCAGTGTTGGCGGTCAAATCCATGACCTCTCACACACTAAACTACAGCCCAGTCTACATCTCATAACCTTAGGAATAGAGTACACAACTCTGGGGAACGATACTGGTGGAGGATGGTTAATAAATAGACAATTCATGCACGAGTATGAGCTGATTTACTTTTTAAAATTTACTCATTTTTTTAAATTTTATTGTGTATTGGTGTTTTTTTTTTTTTTTTTTTTTGGTTTTTCGAGACAGGGTTTCTCTGTGTAGCTTTGCGCCTTTCCTGGAACTCACTTGGTAGTCCAGGCTGGCCTCGAACTCACAGAGATCCGCCTGGCTCTGCCTCCCGAGTGCTGGGATTAAAGGCGTGCGCCACCACCGCCCGGCGTGTATTGGTGTTTTGCCTGCAAGTATTTAAGTACACCCTGTGCTTGCCTGATGCCCACGGAAGCCAGAAGAGGGCATCAGATCCCTTGGAACTGGAGTTACAGACAGTGGTGAGCTGCCATGTGGGGGCTGCGATTGGAATCTGGTTCCTCTAGTAGAAGAGCGGCCAGTGCTCTGAGCCATCTCTCTGACTCCTGAGCACATAGTTTTAAAATAAGAGCACTCTTGAGACTGGCAAGCCCGGGTAACGGATTAGCAACATGGGACCCCATTTGGTTTGGGTCATGCAACCCTCACCCTGATTCTAATAATGTGCTTAGCAGACGGCTTCCTTTTCCTACCTGTACTATACACACATATCTCTTGGAATAATTCACCTAGCAGCCTTGGGCACCCCCCGCCACACACACACACACACACACACACACACACACACACACACACCCCTCTGCAATGGCCTATATCATACACCTCTTTCTAGACAATGGCATCAGTTTCTTCTCCCCTACAAGAATCAAGTTTATACAGTTCCTATTCAAATACATTCCCAATGTGCCCAGGCATGAAACATAGAAAGACTGATTTGGCCTGAACAGGTTTGGGGTGCTTGAGAAATAAGGTAAAGCTGTGTCTTCAAGTGAACTTTGAGGGAGAATCCCTGTTTACCATCTTATGCCTATGTATAATTGGGTAGGCATATGATTGAAACAAGAGGCGTTATAGGAGCTGGGCTGCAGTGGCGCATGACTTTTAATCCCAGTACTTGGGAGGCAGAGTCAGGTGGATCTCTGTGAGTTCGAGGCCAGCCTAGTCTACAAAGTGAGATCCAGGACAGGCACCCCTGTCTCGAAAAACCAAAAAAAATAAAAAATAAAAATAAAATAAAATAAAGAGGCATTATGGGAAGTGATATGCTCAATAAAAAAAAAGAATTACTTGACCTAGTCTGTCAATCAAAACAGAAAACTACCCTCACTAGGGCCCTTCTCTGAACCCTATGAAAGAAAGCCTCAAGCAATAATTGAGGCCCATGAGCATCTTCACTCAGGGCCTGCTGCTCACTTGCAGGGTGTTCTCATCTTCCTGTGGTACTGCTTTAAATGGTTAGTTTCCTTGCTACTTTTCCACATTGCTGGGGCTTTGATATCAACTTCTTGAGTAAGAGGTTAAGAACCTGGAAACCCCAACCGGACCCCAGCCAAAGGTGGTACTCCTTGATCTGTCATAGAAACACATTCACGAAAGCCAGGCGTGGTGACACGGGCCTCTGATCCCAGCACCGGGGAGGCAGAGGCGGGTGGATCTCTGAGTTGGAGGCCAGCCTGGTCTATAGAGTGAGTTCCAGGACAGCCAGGGCTACACAGAGAGACCCTGTCTCTAACCACCACCCTCCACTCCCCCCAAAAAAAGAAAGAAAAGAGAAGAAATACATTCATGCTAATTTCAGCTGCACCTGCTTAGCAGGGATAGAGATCCGGAACCACATTCCGTGTGGAGCCCTGTGCATACTGCATACCAACGACAGCGTTACAACTCTACAGATCAGACCAGGCTTCACCTGGGCCAGGAATCCGCCATTGACATATGCCATGGAAGCATCCTGAACTTCAAAGATGTGTTGCTCGAGGTAGATTTCAGTGAGCAATGTAAACCAGTGCCCTAGTCAGGGGTGATGGTGCATGCCTGTCTGCCCAGCCGTTGGGAGGCTACGGCAGGAGGATTACAAATTTAAAGTCAGTCTGGGTTACATAATGAATGAGATCCTATCTAAGAAAGAAAGAAAGAAAGAAAGAAAGAAAGAAAGAAAGAAAGAAAGAAAGAAAGAAAGAAAGAAAGAAAGAAAGAGAAAGGAAGGAAGGAGAGAGAAAAAGAAAGGAAGGAAGGAAGGAGGAAGGAAGGAAGGAAGGAAGGAAGGAGAGAGAAAAAGAAAGGAAGGAAGGAAGGAGGAAGGAAGGAAGGAGAGAGAAAAAGAAAGGAAGGAGGAAGGGGGAGGGAAAGGAAGGAAGGAAGAGAGGGAGAAAGGAAGGAGAAAGGGGTGGGAGGAGACAGGAGAAAAACACATTTTAGAAAATTATTGGTAAGATGGCTTTAATTTAAAAATTTAAGTTAAGGAGCTAGAGAGATGGCTCAGGGGTTAAGAGAACTGGCTGTTCTTCCTGAGGTCCTGGGTTCAATTCCTAGCACCGACTTGGCAGCTCACAACTGTCTGTGACTCCTGTTCCGGGGGATCTGACACCCTCACACAGACATGCGTGTAGGCAAAACACCAATGCACATACAATGCAAGTAAATAAATTAATTTTTTAATGTAAGGAAAATAAATTTACATAAAAGAAAATAAAAATAATAACCCAGTGGTGCCTTTTCTCCCCTGGTGTTAGCGGACACCCCACGCGTGTTTCACCCTTTCAACCAGCCCACCTGTAAGACACACTGCAGTGTGCTCAGTACTGCGGGAGATCACAGACAGAAACCCTAACCTGACGCTCAAATGATGTGGGGAGGAAAGCAGAAAGCCTCAGGATTAGCTCGACTTCCTGGCCTGTGTAGAAGAACTCCTTTTCTGCCGTTCATGGCCGTTACCTCCACCAGGGGGTGTTCAGGGATAGGACTAGACAAATAGATGAAGTTCTGGAGGGACCACTGCGACCTCCCGGACCTGCCAGCCTTCCCAGGGCTTCTGCAGGACACTTTCTCAGACCTGTCTCCTCTAGCCCTTCTCAGCCCCTCATCCATCGCCAGGGCTCCTTCACTCCACTCACTTCCTGCTTTGGCCCTGGCCACCCTCTACCACCCCCTTCCCCCGACACACACACACACACACACACACACACACACACACATACACACACACACACACACACCCTCAGCTCTTTCCTCAGCCGGTCTCCCACGGGTCCTCCTGTGAGTCTTGTCAAATGACACCAGCCCCAGCTTGGGCTAACTCTTCTCCCTTGTAAACGGCACTTAAGATGTTCTAACATTCCGAGGGACTGGAGAGATAGCCCACAGATGTC